ATTGTTTATGTATATCTCCAAATGCACAAGTTTACAGGTGAGAAGCCATGGTAATTCAAGGTGTTATAAGAAGTTGAAAGACAGACCTAAAATCACATTTATTGCAGATCTATGCAATTAGGAAGCTTTCTTTAAGAAATACAACACAGCTACCATCAGCCCTTTTCTCTTCTTTTTTTTCCAAAAAGATAATTGCTATTATTGAAAAGAAAGAAAGAAAAACATGACCATGAAGATACTTGACTTTGTCTCAATGAAATAATCAAAACTAGAAAAGATTGTTTGCTAATGCAATACATTCATTATGCTTGACAGACACAATTGCCTGTCAGAATGGCAGGAGAACAACAATTCTCTTGATGCTGATTTCTGAATGATCCATTTTGACCAAACTCCATAACTTTGGATTTCTCTTATGCGAGAAGATTGATTTCAGATGTTTCAATCACAATATAGGCATCTCCAAAGTTTGTAAAACATCTTTGAACTCGAACTCCCTTGTTTCTCTATTGAAACACTCCACTAGTTTGTACCTGACATCATTCAAGTAAAAAGATTGTGCAGTGTCCAAAAGCCATTTTGCCTCCGAGTCAGTGAGCTTGCTAGTAAAGACAATGTCCCCTCGAACAAGAACCAGATCCTTGCTTTCAGCAAATTCGGTGTAGTAAGAAACTGTGAAGTATGGAGAAGCTTGAGTTCCTCTTGCCTTGTAATCTTCAAGGCCTGTGATAAGCATGTGTGGCGCCTGCACTGCATGAAGATTCAATAAATGGTAATGAATGACTGCAAGTGATATAGGGCATTTTCATGTAATTAAAGGAACCTATAACCCAACTTTCTTGATGTTGCATTTAATACACAGCGCTAAAGCTGATGTCACACAGGACATTGGCCAACAAATTTTAAGCATAAACAATATTTTCATTTATACAGATTAACCAGAAAAGTACAGGTTCAGTTGGAGAGAACAGATATTCTGCGAAATTCATCTTTTCCTCGCAACTACTTTTTGCTTCGGTTTTGGGATGGGGAGGGGTTGATCTACAAGTGCAGCTTAAAATTGAAGAAGGAACAGATAGAATATTCACAGTACAGATGCCCAAAGGAATAGCTGGCTAACTACATGTACAACCAGAACCATTTATGTTCAACTGGTATAAAGGTTAGAAACTAGGTGCAGTCCAAGCACTACGATACTACATCTTTTTCTTTTTCCTTTCTAAAGTATATTTATGCGAGAAACGATATTGTTTACTTTTGATTACTTGAAACTTTTATAGGTAATTTATATTTAGTAGAAATTTGCCACATATCTTGGACCCAAAATTGGATGGAATGTATGATGGCAGCCAAGGTTACAAGTCTCAAGACCCTTCACAAGATCATAAGCCAAGAAGTTAAGTGACTTACAAACTCTTACAATGAGGATAGNTATCAAAGGGAGAAAACACCCAAAGAGGCCAAAAACTGAAGTTGTAGGCTGCAGTTTCTATGCAGAACACAGACAGCCGTAATTGCACAAAGATGGCCGAAGATGAAGCAAGCGTGATCACGAGGTTCCAGGCTGCAATCGCGAGAAGAGTGATCCTGGAGAAGTCCGCGATCACGGGGTCCCAGACTGCGATCATGAGGTTCCTTGTCGCGATCGCGAGAAGGGTCAATCCTGATAAGTCCGCTATCGCGGTGTCCCAGACTGCGATGCATGGGAGGCTGATTCACTGAAGACGCAATCGCAGGGTCCCAGACTGGGATTGAAATGAAGGCCTACCAGGCTGATTTTCCAATTTCAGTCCATTTCCTTTTTAGGCCAAATTAGGGACTATTAAATCATTTCTGTGTAATAATTAGACCTAATATAAATACTATCTTTCCTAGAATGGTAGGGTTTAGCATATTTTGATGGTAGACAACTTTGAGAATGTTTGGATGGTATCCAATTGTTGCTACAGACCTTGCAAGCGGGTTTTCAAGTTGATCACTTAAACTTGAGGGTTTCTTATAGGATTGGTACACTTTAATTTTCTGAATTAAGGTATTTGATTGTTATTGAATGTTCTGGTTTATGCCTTAAAGTTGAGAAAATAACAAACATATCATTAACTGCAGTCTTCAAAAAGCACAGGGTATTTTACCTTTAAAAGAAGCCTCAGAAACGACTAAGGATTCCATACGTGGGTAAACCAGGCAAGGAATAAAAAACAGATCAAAATAGTAAGATATAAAACTCAAGCGGAGAAGTTTTGTTTTTGACTCTGGCAATCTGCAGTCTCTTTCCCTAAAAGCATGCTTTATTTCGCTCCAGCCATAATGTCCACATTATGCAGTTGGGAATAGTTTTCCATATTAGCTTTAAGCTCCTTTTACTCTCTGGGATTGCCACATTTCCAGCAAGCTACTAATCTTCTGAGGTAGCACCAAAGATATGCCCATTATGTTCAAGAAAAAATCCCAGCATTGTCTTGAAAATTTGCAATGCAAGAAGAGATGCTCAACTGTTTCCTCCTCTGCATTGCAAAAATAACATCTACTGCACAGAGAAAACCCTCTCCTCTGTAACTTATGCTGAGTTTGGCAGGCATCCCTAGCTGCTAGCCAACCAAAAAGAGCTGCTTTCATAGGTGCTTTAGTTCTCCAAATCATCTTCCAAGGCCAGTTTAGAGTTCCCAGACTAGTTTGTTGTTGCAACATTTTGTAACAATTATTCACTGTGAATATATTATCCCTGCTTCAGATCCAAATTAGCCTATCTGTTTTGTGTTGATCTATTGAACATGAATTCAGAAGTTGAAGCAGTTCACAGAAACTGTCCACTTCCCAGTCGTTCAGATTTCTTCTGAAAATAACATTCCATCCTGATTCTGCTTTAAAACCTGTAATACAACCCTCTTTATTCAATGCACAGTTAAATAGATCTGGAAATCTGCTTTTGAAGCTCTCATTACCACACCAAATATCCAGCCAAAATTTAATCCTAGCACCATTTCCCACCTCCAAACTAGTATGCTGTAAAAATTCATCCCACCAGCCACCAATCGTTTTCCAAATCCTGCCACAGCTTCTCAGTTGAGAAGGAATTTGTTTCCACCAAATCTTTGCACCATAAATGGCATCTATTAATTTCTGCCAAACTTCCTCACCCTCTCTACTATATCTCCATAGCCATTTAAAAAGTAAGCTTTTATTGTGCAATTTCAGATTCCTCACTCCTAGTCCACCTCTCTTTTTATCTTCAATAACCATTTGCTATTTAACCAGATGTGTCCTCTTCTAGTCTGAGCTTCCATCGCACAAAAAGTTCTAATTTCTTTTCTACTGCTTTAGGCATACTGATTAAGGACATGGTGTATGTGGGTATCCCATCCAAGACACTATTCATTAGAGTCAGCCTGCCCCTAAAAGATAAGTATTGCTTCTTCCATGGAGTAAGTTTATTACTTCTTATATCTTTACTCGAATATTTCTCCTCAAGTACTGAATATTTCTGGCATAGGATTAGCAGTCCAATGGACCACTAGTTGTTCTTGTCCCACTTTCCTCGTTTGAGGCTGGGTGTACCATTTGCGAGTGGATATGATCATGATTCAAAAATTTGTTTCAAGCTTAAATTGAGGATGAATTTTATGAGAAGACAAGAATCAACGCGTCACTTTTGGTTCCCCTGCAGACATCAGTACTAAACTGTGCCTGGAAAAATTTATCTGGAAACGAGGAACTCATTGTCACAGGCTAATTTTTAAGCACTAGTCACTAGATTGAAATGCAAAGTATCAAATACTGCAGCAGTTTAGACCAAGGTAACCTTGAAACTCAACTCCTCTCAGGTTCATCAGCATTGCCTTGCTCTTTGCCTTTGATGGTTTCTTTTACATAGAACTTGGTCTAATTAACCATTATTTTCTTTTATACTTGAAAATTATTACAAGAAAGACACAAATAAGTATTATACAATCAGGCAATAAGCAGATATTCGCAATGCATATGGTTACTGCTCAAAGTAGATACAATATAAAACAAGTAGTGTAGCACCTACTATATTAAATCGACTAAAGAGAGAAGAAGATTCTACAGATTTGTTTAAGTTACATTCAGTAGACTTTAAACTATATTAACTTCACATATTTTGATGTTGTATTCGAGTTTATGGGTTGGTGTTCTATTGGGTTGAAATTGTAAAGATTCCACATATTTGTTTAATATGCGGGGCCCCTGCTTTGTTGTTAAATATTATTTATGGTATGGATGGTAAGTGGTTTTATATTAAAAACCTTTTCAAGTGACTTTTAAAGTGGTGTTCCAGCCATTGTCACTTTGTAAGATATGTGCATGAGCTTGAGTGGCTTTATTGGGACAAAAAAAGATAAACGACCTTGCTTAGGTAATTCTATTAAGTTGAGTGACCATTTGAGGAAACTCTATATATCTGACTGCGAATCGTAATATTATATCTAAATAACAAGTTCATTGTAAAATGAACCTTGAAAAGATGGAAGGCGTTTCGCTTTTCTGAGAATAAGCTGAGCTCCTGTCAGTGATAGCATAAGAACTAGAGAAAGAGGAACTCTTAGAATAGTTTTTTGATACTCTCTTAGGGATAGTGTCTACAACATGATAATAGGTTTTACAATGCATATCAACAGAGATTGTTAAATCGTAAAAGGAGCAAGATGACTCTGACCTTGCACAAACATGGTTGTGTAACCACTTCCCCTCCACAGTGGAATCACAAAATATCGGCTACACAAGAAAACAGAAGTAAAATGTCAAAGATAAGGAAGGAAGTGGCATTAAACATAGCAACTTATCAGAGTCCGACAAAACAAATGAATAAGAAGACCTTATCAAAAAAAAAACAAATGAATAAGAAGAAGCAGCACATTTACCAACTTGAAGATCTTTGCTCGAAGAGCTTATATAACTTAGCTTTCATTGATGCTGCAATATGACCTCTTCCCAAGTGATACTGAGATGACATAATCATGCAACAAAAGGGAAAAAAGGGAGAAAGAAAAGGATCATTCCAGCAATCACTAACACGTTAGGAAAGCAAAAGTTACTGAATCAAACAGCAAGTTGTGTCATAGACTGCAGACTATGATCAAAATGTATATCCAACTTAATAAAATAAAGACATGTAAAGGTACATGGATGTTCATAGCTAAAATTACTTCAATGGCAGAAATCTGGTGGAAGAGCAGCTTCCCAAGGGAAACATGAGAAGGCAATCCACAATCCAAGCATCTTTGAAGCATTACATCATAGATCGATTGGCTTAAAAACACTAAGTTTCACAAGAAAATCTGTCGGAGGGGTACATTTAGACCAAAGATCAAAAGAATTGGGTCTCTAATCCCTCCTGCAAATCCTCCTCCCATTTGCGGCATAAAATGCTATTAATAGCCGTCATCTAAAGAAGAAATGCAATCATAAAACAAGCATGGACAGGTAAGACTAGAAAACCAGACAACATATATTTTTGGCTACCTGAATCACTTTTACAAGTTTATCATAATGATCAGATAAACCTCGATGACTTCAAATTTCTAGTGTAGTAAGAGAAACTGGCTAACCTACTCATTTCTATGACAAAAGCTTGGTCTAGTTGTGAATTGTTCATCATATTGAATGACTAATGTAACTTACAACAGTCCACAATCAGAACTCAAGGCTGAAAACTATTTCAAGAAAGCCAACAATGCATTTGAAAACTATCAAAATAACAAAAAAGAAAGGTTGAAAGATTACATCATCCCAAACGTCAGCAAGCTCTTCAGCTGATTTGTTTTTCGCCCTCTCCATGTCAATAATAGAGTCCAAGGGCTTTGGCTTCAACGGGCTGAAGCCAGAGGCAAATTTTGATGTCCTAATGGAACCAAGCGAACCCCATTTCAAGAAATCACAAGGAATAGTATTTCGTTGTGACTTATAAAATATTTGCCATAGAGTTGAACTTCTGTATGGTTGTCTTAAGACCATAGAGAAACAAGAAGCATTTCCATAGCAAGGAATAACAGAAGAGAGTATTCTCTTTGATATGCGACTTGACAAAGAGCGTATCATGGTTTATCTGCAATAACACTGAAAATCTGAAACATCAACATCTCATCTTATGCCACAAACAAAACCTAGAGATAGAACATGTACATTCATATAATCATGTCCCAAATAGACTGCACATATGACCAATGAAACCTCAGTACACGTTGCGAACCTGTAGTAAATCAAATAGGGAGTAGTAAATATAATGGAAACTAGGGAGTAACAACCTGAAAATGCTAGGTGTGAATTACATCTACAACACTTAGTATGAGCCCATATGCTCTAACTTTTATGGGCAAGTTCAGTCGTCACCTGAGCTTGTAGGCTGCAGAGGCTAGCCAGTGATTAATCGAGGTGCGCTCAAGCAGACACAGACCCACAGGCATAAAAGAAAAAAAATAATGACAACTAAGGAGTGTTAAATATGTCAATCCAACTTCAGTGGGCAAAATTTATGTACAGTTTGGTACTTTTCTACACTGATATAGGTCAGGTCGTAGATAACGGGAGCCCAAACCTAGCAATTATGAGAGCAACAGAACTGGTAATGTTTTTTGCCCCTAGGACTTTGTTCTAGTGGTAGGAGTGTAGCATGTGATATGTGGTTTAGGTGCAAGTCACAGGTTTGAACCCCGTTGCAGACAAAAGTCTGACATTTAAGTGGATAAGAGTAGAGTGTGGGGCCCATCATCCACCAGGTTTCGACCCTTGCACCAATGACCCTCGGGATTTCTCAGTTACCAAAAATATAAGAAATGCTAATGTTTTGCTAGAACAGAAAAGTTGAGGATCCAAGATCCTATAAGTCTTGGAATTTACTCTCATATGTTATCTTTGGTTGAAAGGGTGGGGCCCATCATCCACCGAGTTTTGACCCTTGCACCAATGACCCTTGGTATTTCTCGGTTACCAAAAATATAAGAAATCCTAATGTGTTGCTAGAACAGAAAAGTTGAGGTTCCAAGATCCTATAAGTCTTGGAATTTACTCTCATATGTTATCTTTTACTGGTTGAAAATTTTGCACGTCGCCCTTTAACTATGGTTTTTATTTGGAGTTAAATAAAACAATTTGTGAACCCCAATAGTTGGTTTACTTCTACATTCATTTCTTCACTAGAAATTTAGGAAAGGGGTAAGATTATCAATCAAATTAGATGGGAACAAAAATTTAATTTTTTAAAGTTATAAATTAGAAGCAGGAATTCAGTCAAGAACAACAAAGATTGCATTTTTCATGGACAATTGCGAGCTACACCTAAGAATCATCAATAAAAATTTAATTGAGACAGTTAAACAGACCCAAAAAGAAAAAGGGAAAAAGAAAGGAAAAGGAACCAAGTTAACATAAGCTGCTTCTACACTTTCCCAACCCAAATGAGAAGAAAGAATCAGTGAAATGAAAGAGTAAGGTGGAGAAGAATACATAAAAGTGTACCTGATTAAAAGAAGATTGGAGTCGCCGGCGAGAGGAGAGTAGAGATTCGGAGAATGGAGTGTATAAAGAAAACCTGGGTTTCTGAGAAAATGACAAAAATAATACCTTATGTTTGAGTATAGGTTTATGATGGTCCTTTAAATATGCATTTAACAGTTATAGTCCTTTAAGTTTACCAAAACTTGACAATTTTAGTCTCTGTCCACTTTTTAAGTTAAATTTAACGGAATCTCCCACACATCACCTTCACGTTATCGAGTCTCATCTCTCACATGGCAGATTATGAAAGTTGAATGCTCAACAACTTAGCAGTTAGTGGATAGAACACTGAATTGGATGTTTGGCCTTACCAAAAATAAAAAGAAGAATCTCGTAGCTTTCGTACATATTGGGAGACAGTGTATTTCATCGTCTTCTTTTCAATTATATAGCCCAACAAAACCTCAAAACTTAGTGTTAAAATAAACACAAGCCAGTACCGTATCACCTCCATTTTTGTAGCTTCCCAAATTTATATAGCCCAACAAAACCTTTTTTTTTTTTCCAAAATAACCTCACACAAATAATACTTAATTCTTTGGGATATAGATTTGTGTATTTATAGGGACATATGGGATTTCACCGCTGGCACAAATAATGACGCCGATTATTATGTTTTGGTTGCCTCACGTGAGTATCACATGCTGTACTGTTAAATTTATTAACTTTTAAAAATAGACGGAGACCAAAATTGTTAACTTTTGGTAAACTTAAACGACTAAAATTGTTCAGAATATATTTAAAGGCCTCCCCACTTGTGGGTTACTAGTGGCCGTTGTTGATCCTCATAAACCTACACTCGAATATAAGGGATCATTTTTTCTTTCTTTTTTCTTCCTTTATCTTCGGATGCTCGTATGGTAAGCACCCTTCATTTCCAACCAAGAGGTTGTGAGTTCGAGTCATCCCAAAAACAAGGAGGAGAGCTATTATACTGAGTTATTGTTGTTGTATCTTCGGAGTAATATATTTGTGGGTCAATTATACTAAATATCCCTATAATATAATTTTGAATACACCCCTATAATTTAAAATTAATATTTATAGTTCCTACACTATAAAAATTCTACGCCTATACCCTTTATGAGGTAATTTTGTGCTATATTTGTAATGAGTCCAAATTTGGACAACCACGACCGTTGATGAGTACGACAAGCGACGAGATCTTTGTAGCTCGACATCCTGCAGGAGACGACCTACAAGCGAACAAGAGACTGTATGACTTCTGCAGTAGTGTAGGCCCATTAGGGAATATTAGGAATATTCTTTTGAATATTCTTTATGATTTGTCTTTTAGGGCTTAGAAGGTTTTTGTCCCTTATATATAGAGCGTAAAACAACCTTGTAAGGCTCTCTCAGCATTTTTCCCAACTAAGAACACTCGCTATAACACTTACATAAACAATTGATGTCATTATTGTTTGATAGTTCATCTTGACAAGATAAAGAAATCTTATCCCCTATATTCACCTTGTATATCTTTTGTTCTAGAGATTATTATACTTAGCTAAGCTTTACCCCTTCATTTTCTTTGATTGATTTATTCAAAAAGGTTCTAATATCTTTTGAGTCAAACAATTTGGCGCTGTCTGTAGGGATTTCTATAGCTGAGATCTTAGTTTCGACTAGATCCTTGAAAGAAATAATCACCTCTTCTTAGCCTCGCAAAGGCCAACAATGGCAGGAAAGGGAGAAACAAGATTAAAGGCAATAGTAGGTGTCACGAACAACATTCTGAATTCCCTCAATGAAGCCGGTAGGGAAGACAATGAAAACGCAATGCCAAGTGCTACACCTGAGGGAGAGATCTCACCCCCTCCCCCCGTACGAGGGCGTGACTGTCTCGCACGAGAGGGAAACCTCAACATCCGCAGTAGGAGAAGCACCACCGGCTGTGAAAAGGCTATTAGAAGAGTGGTTGACAAACACCTTGAGCAACATACTCGACAAACCCGTTCAAAGGGATATCAGAGGCACAATACCCGCAGAAACCGCAACTGTCACCGATGAGCCAGAAACTCCACGAACAGGTAACACTCATATTGTCATTGATGCAGGTAACGATGCACTTGCGGCCATTTTAAAGAAAATGGAAGAGATGGAGAAAGAGCAAAAAACTCCGCGATCAGATGAAGGAGCATCAGGAAAGGGTCGATAAAATACAAGGCTCTTCGAAGCTGCTACCAAAACGTGATGTAGGCTGATTTGTCGAACAACTATACAGTGAAGGGGCGACTCCCCACTCTATCTCTAAAACCTTCAAAATGCCGCCATACTTGAAAATATATGATGGCACCACGGATCCGGAAGATCACATAATCCACTACGTCACTGCGGTAAAAGGCAATAATTTGTCGAAAGAACAGGTGCCATCGGTGTTGTTGAAAAAGTTCAGCAAAACTCTGACAGAGGGAGCGCTGACATGGTATTCCCAATTGCCCGCACGGTCAATATCAACGTTCGAAGAAATGGAAGATAAATTTGTCACCGCTCACACGGGAGCAGAAAAGGTGTAGGCCAGGGTAAATGACATTTTTGCCGTCAGGAAGACGATAGGCGAAGGGCTTCAGGATTTCCTAGCCCGATTCAACAGGGTAAGAATGAGCCTACCAAATGTATCAGAAGGGATGGCGGTAGTAGCCTTCCAAAATGGGTTAAATAGAAATGGGTCAAAAGCAACCAAGAAACTGCTAAGTAGACTCATGGAGTATCCCCCACCACGTGGGAAGAAATCCATAATGCATATTATGCCGAAGTAAGAGCAGATGGGGACGGCTTAAATGGTCCGCTCCAACGACTAACATCGGTCCAGACCGAAACAAGGAGAGATCGCCGCAACGATGGTCGAAGGGATCAATTATCCCGTTTCAATCGGGAAAGGCATCAGCCCTATATCCGGGCATCCATCCCGCCTCCTCCACGACAAACAGACGTCACGCACCGATATATCATGCCACACCAAAACAAAAGAGGTATGCCCCCACTGTTATCTGCTCATAACTTTTGCGTTTCTCCTTTAGAAATAGTGTATGCACTGGAAAAGCTCGACACAAAGGTACAGTGGCCGCAAAAGATGAAGTCAGATCCGAGCACTCGGAGATCGAACGTTCTGTGTGAATTCCACCAGGAAAGAGGACACAAGACCGAAGACTGCATAGGTCTACGATAGGAAGTGGTAAGAATGTTAAACCAGGGACACCTGAAAGAACTGCTGAGTGATCGAGGACGAGTCAACTTCGCTCGTGGATGCGATCAATCTCAAGGACCCCCAAAACCACCGTCACCAGCTCGTACCATACAAATGATCATTGGCGGCGGCGACGATACGGTAATCAACCATGTGAAGTTCACCACCACACATAAATTCAAGCGGACAGTCGCCCATGAACGATATGCTGACCTCGAAGATAGTATCATCTTCGATAAGTCGGATACCAACGATTTGTCTTTCCTTCACTATGATGCTTTGGTTATAACTTTATGTATTGCGGATACCGATGTAAAAAGAATAATGGTGGATGACGGAAGCGGCGCGTGTATTATTCACCTATGAGTCCTCATACAAATGAGGCTCGAGGATAAGATAGTATCACGTTGGATAACACTAACGAGTTTTAATAATGCAGTAGAACGAACCTCTGGAGAGATAATGCTGCCCGTTCTGGAAGGAGGATTCACCCTGGAAACAACATTCCACGTTATGAACCAAGAAACAACCTACAAAGCTATCACAGGGCGTCCATGGATATACGCCATGCGAGCTGTCCTGTCAAGTTTCTACCAAGTAATCAAATTTCCTACCTTATGGGGGATATTCAGCATCCGGGGCGAGCAACGCACCGCCCAAGAATGCTATCGAATCGCCCAAGACTACACACACACCCAATAACTAAAGGGGGAAAGTGCGGAATCATAACAATCAGCCATATCGGGAACTAAACCCGATACACAAATAGAGGCCATCAAAGACCCATATGTCGTAGAGGCTTGCAAGGCAACCGTAGAAAACCTCGACCCCGTTCAGTTAGATAGTACTGACAGCGCGGAAAAAGCTTATATCGGACACAACCTCTCAAAACCAGGTAAGTTTCATAAGTTCTTAACTAACAATGCAGATTTATTTTCCTTTTCCTACTCAAATATTTTGAGAATCCCAAAGGATATCACCACACAGAGGCTGAATGTCGACTCTCTCTACCCGTCTGTGCGGCAGATGAGGAGAAAGCTCAACACCGCAATCAACGATACAATCAGCGAAGAAGTCGATAAGTTGCTCGCTAACGGCTCCGTCAAAGAATCAAAGTATCCTCAGTGGGTCGCCAATGTGGTCATAGTAAAAAAGAAGAACGGAAAGTGGCAGATGTGTGTTGACTTCACCGACCGGAACAAAGCGTGCCCAAAGGATTCCTTTCCGTTACCACATATCGACCAACTCATCGACGGAACAGCGGGGCACGAACTATTGAGCTTCTTGGACGCCTATTCTGGTTACAACCAGATTCTAATGGCAGAAGAAGGCCAATAAAAGACCACCTTCATCACTCACCAAGGAACATACTGCTACAGAGTTATGCCGTTCGGACTCAAGAACGCAGGGGTGACGTATCAAAAGTTAGTCACCAGAATGTTCAAATAACAACTTGGAAAGACTATGATGGTATACATCGACGACATGCTGGTGAAGTCAAAAAGGAAAGAGGATCACATTAATCATCTGAAGGAAGCCTTCGAAATATTGAGGCGATACGGGATGAAACTGAATCCCAAAAAATGCGCCTTTGGCATAACCTCAAGAAAATTCCTTGGCTTTTTGGTGTCGCAAAAGGGTATAGAGGTCAACCCAGATCAGATCAAGGCCATCAAAGGAATACCGGAGACGTTGACCAGCAAAAAGCAGGTACAGAAATTGACAGGGCGAATAGTCGCCCTGTCAAGGTTCATCTTGCGGCCATCCGACAGATGCCATAAGTTTTTTAATGTACTAAGGAAGGATCACGGGCAACAATGGAATTCAGAATATGTTAACGCCTTGAGAAAACTGAAAGCGTATCTGTCCTCACCACTACTACTCGTCAAGGCAGACTCGGGCGAGTGCCTCCTGGTGTACCTAGCAGTCTCCAAAGTCGCGGTAAGTGCAGTTCTAGTACGCGAAAACAAAGGTACGCAATCTCCAATTTATTATATCAGCAAAACCTTAGTTGATACCGAAACAAGGTACCCCCACCTTGAGAAATTAGCTTTGGCATTAGTCGTAGCTTCACAAAAGCTCAGACCATATTTTCAATGTCACCCCATAAAAGTGGTGACAACCTTCCCCTTTAGAGGCATCCTACACAAACCCGAGCTATCGGGTAGATTGGCCAAATAGGCCATAGAATTGAGCGAGCACGATATAACATACCAACCGCGAACTGCTATAAAGTCGCAGGTGCTCGCCG